TTGGGTACCAATAAAGGCGTCATGACTAGAATTGGTCTGATACATGCTGAGCTGGGTGTGTGTAGACATAGGTTGATTCACATTTGGAGCAGAGATCCCCCATCATGCAGTGCTTCCCTGGTCCCAGAATTCAGTGTGGTCCTCGCTTTGGAATCTCTGTTCTCCATCCTGAATGCTAATGAAGGTGCTTCCTGTCCCATGTCTTATGTAAATGAGACAAGGGGAGTTGCTTCACTCTTATCTACCCTTGTCTGGAGGCCTTTAGATGCGTCTCCCACCGCATCTTCATTGTCTTCTGTAAGTCCTTCCTCCAATCAGCTCTTGTTCAGGCAGAGGTGGGGAGGGGGTGAGTCCTTTGGGAGTCAGACAGGCTGCGTCCTGTGCCAGGGCTCCCCAAGACCCCCGAGCTGAGCAGTAACAGTGTGTGCATGTTTGGCCATAGTGGGGGAGGGGGGTGGGGAGCAGGGCAAAGAGGCACGCATGTGTCTCCTACCTCCATCCCGACAGAGTCTCCCCAGGCTCCCAGCCAGCACCAGGATGGGAAGAGGCCCCTCCCCCCCCCGCCCCCTGTGGCCCAGCTCCCATGCGGGGAGGGGCCCTCTAATGTTGTGTTTGCCTCGGGCCCCAGGACACATTAACCCACCTGGTGGGGGAATGCGTCTGGACCTGGAGCCCATCATTCTTGACAGGCAATTTGCTAGTATTATTATAATTGTGATTCCATAATGGAGAAAAAATGAAGTAGAATTACATTTAAATTCGTACTTTTAAAAGAGACACTTATGTACGTACCACTTACAGCCGCATCCAGATGAGTGAGCACGTGCTTGTTGTGGCGTCTCAAAGCAGTTGGAGATGCTGCGAGTGGCATGCTGGGAATGAAGCAATGTTCCCATACTGCAGATATGCAGTGCAGACTCTAAATGCAATACGGGAAAATCCCGGTATCAAAAAATTACACAGCAGAAAAAAGGTGGCACAGGGCACAGTCCTGGAGCCTGCCCAGAGGAAACCAGAGGCTGGGCCCCCCCAGAGAAATGCTCTAGCACCCAGCCAGGGCATGTCTATTAGGCCTGTGTGAAGCAGCTAGCATTTGCTTCGGATTTGGATTCAGCTGATTCAGGGGACAGTGATTTGATTTGGTGATTTGAATCACTGTCCCGAACTGATTTGGCCAAATCTGATTTGGCGATTCAGTCACTGCTGATTTGGCTGAATCTCTGAATAAAACAGGCCCCATCCCCTGCCCATTCTCCCAGCCTGAGCAATGGCTTCCCTGCCCAGCTCCAGCATCCCAGCTCTTTCTCACTGTCTCCTGCCAGGCAGGGAGGCGATCCCCACTGCCCCCCACTGTCCCGTGCTGTGTGCAGGGCTCTGCCATGAGCCCCCAGAAGCAGCCGGTGAGTGCAAGCTTTTTTTTTTTTAAAAGAACTGAGATGCTGGGGCCAGGTGGGGCAACCATTGATGGAGGTGGGAGAGCAGGCAGTCAGGGGGCTCTCAGGGGAGCAGGCAGGGGATGGGGCCTGGTGGGAGTTCTCCCATGTTCCTCTTCCCCTCTCTAGGCCCTCCCCCCCTACCCCCTACTTACTGGCACAGTCTTGGCCCAGCTCCCTGCGGCAGCGAGTGGGGATGGCCCAAATCTCTGAAAAAATCTTTTCTGAATCAGTTTGGAGAGCTTCAAATCAATCTGGACCTTTTTATTGGTCTCCTGATTTGATTTGGATTCAGAAATTTGGCCGCCAAATCAGGATGAATCTCCTCCGAATCGAATCGGCAGCCAAAGCTTCACACAGCCAATATCTATGGCTTCCCCATGCCCCTGCTGCCCCAGCACGCTGCCTAAGCCTTCTGGGGGAAAAAGGAGTAGGACAAGGCTACAGTAGATCAGACCCAAGCTCTGCCCAGGTAAGCAGGGATGTGGAGGTAGGGAGGACTGTGCGGGTGGAGGGAACTGTGTGTGTGTGGGTGGGGAGCACTGTTGTGGTTGGGGGTGCTGTGAGTGTGTGGGAGGGACTGTGCGGGGGTGGAGGGACTGTGGGTGGTGGGGACTCCTGCGGAGGGATGGATCCCATGCCCACCCTTCCACATGTTGCACGTTCCCCCTGCAGCAGCAGCAGCAGCCATCAGGGTCTTCATGCCCCCTGATGACAGAGACTCCCAGTGGTGTGGCGCCACCTCAGACCAATGGCTGCACATGGTGGTGGCACAGCCCAGCCCACTTCCCCTTGGCAGAATCAGGTCAGCTCCTGCTGTCAAGGAGGGCTTCTGGCACTGACAGCAGAAGATGGGACCTTCCTGCATGGAACCAGCCCATCCTGATGGTGCAGGGGGCACATGGAGGCAGGACCCAGCCTGGCCTGAGAGCACGTAGATTTGCATGCCGTGCCAGAAGCCTGACAGCAGGAAGTGACTGAGTTCTGCATGAGGGCACATGGGTTGGGAGGGGCCAGCGGCACGTGCAGCTGCTGAATTGAGGTGGGACCGTGCCACTGGGGGGTCTCTTCCAGGAGTGGGCATGAGTGCCCTAATGGCCACTGGTGCTGCTGCTGTAGGAGGCTGCACACCATGCAAAGTGGCGGGGGGGGGGGCCCCCCCCCCCCAGGCGGGCCCCAGACCATCCCCCACGATCCCCCCACAAGCTCCAAACCATCCCAAACCTCTGCACAAGCCTGACACTACACCCACAAACCTCATCCCCACAGACTCCCACAATTTTTCCCACAAAACCCACACCCACTCCCCACACCCTTTCCCTGCAAAACCCCACACCCACCCACAAATCTCACACCCTGTGTTTCCAGCCACCAGATAGGATAGGGACAGGGGCAGCTGCTACACTGCAGTCATGCTCCATGCCAACACTGGTGTTTGGACATGCAGCCTTGGCCTGTGGGAGCACCTCATCCCAGGAATCACTTGGGTCTAATAGGCTGGGGGGGAGGAGTGGAGGTGGCAGCAGGGGTGTGTGTAAGAGAGGGAGAGATGGAGGTTGGGGTGAGAGAGAGGGAGAGCTTCAGGTAGGAGAGACCACTAGTGCTGGGCTTAATGTCCCTGTGCCACCTTAGAGCATCTTATGCAGGGGGAGGGAAGGGGCTTGACCATCCCAGTCCCTGAGCCCCAGTCAACGGCTTCCCAGAAACAGCATGAGGATTTCTGGGGCCTAGGCACAGGCATGGGGAGCAGAACAGCAAGGGCTGGCACCGCTCAGAGCCACAAAGCAGCAGGGGGAACAGCTGCAGCTGGACTCATATCTTGGAGCTGGGATGAAGCTGCTGCCAGGAGGGAGCTGGCGGGGGCAGACAGGGGCTGTGGGTGAGGAGCGAGTGGCACTGGCGGAGCTGTGGGTTGAGAGTGAGGGGCAAGGACAGGGGCAGGGCACCAGCATATCAGTGTTGCTCAGCACCCCACATCCTGCCCTATTTACTACTGTTCGGTAAAGCCTATAAAAGCTGTGAAACATCATTTTGAGTCAACATGAGACCAATACTAAAATAGCTATTGCCAAGGGCACGTCTCTGGAAGTGGGGAACCTGAAGTTTCCCAGCTTTCAAAGACCTGAGATCCTGGAAGCACATGTCTGCAAGCAGGGAAAGCCATGAAGGCAATCCTGAAGTTAGAGGCCTGATCCTGTGTGGGAAATCCTGGGGCACACGAGACTCAGACCTCCAAGCCCACAGACCTTCTGCTGAGGTGGCTGGAGAGGGCGGGAACCTCCAGGCTGCCCGTGCTCTCCTGCCATAAAGAAAATAGACACCCATCACAATAAAGCAGCACAAATTACTGCTACCCTTTGTAGCAACCACATTGCAGTGTGATTGAATATAGATGTCTATTTGGTTTTGTTTTGGGCCACCATAAAATGTTTGTGCCAGCACAAAGGCAAAAAAAGGGATGTCTGCATTACTGTGCAGGATTGAATGGACACCTAGCAGAAGCCTGTGACCAGTTTTGCACAGCAGTGGACAGTCTTCTCAACACATACATATCTTAAGTCATGTCAACTGGTTTTCTCTTTTGGTTGATTGGAAGTTAAAACATTCAGTTTAGGACTTGTGTCAGGGGGAGTAATTCCAGAATAATTATTCCCAGTTAACTCTACATGTCAAAACACTTATTCTGAAGTAAGAATATCCACAGAGGAAATATTCAGGAACACTTTGAGTTTAAACTTTCCCTTATTCCATATTAATTTCCATTCACTCCATTTTGTCAAAGCCATGACTTACTTTTCTGTTGCCGAGCTCAGTAACCAAATATTTCAGCAGCTTTGGCTGAAGAGTCTTTGTTTTGCAACATTTATCCCATCCGATTGTCTAACAGTAGGGCCCTGGGATAATTACATTATTGTTTGTCAGTTAGACTTCTTTAGGCTTCATGGCCTGCTGATGATAGAGAAGGATTGTGAAACTATCCAAAAATCTCAGACATCCCAAAACATTATCTCCACAGTCCAAAGCATAAAGCTCATTATGCAGGACTGATCCACACTCACCACTTTTGCCAGAGCTTTTAACACAATACTCTGAAGATCTTGAAGAGGACAAATCTCATAGTGCCTTGAACAGCTATATTGGCATGCAACTGTATCTGGACCCCATGTTTTCTTTTTTAACAGTGCATAGTATTGAGTCTAGATCTCAGTCATTTAATAAGGTCTAAAATGTAATGACAACTCTTCATCATCATGAGACTCAACACATGATTGTTCATTTAGGGTAAAAGAGAGAGGAATTATCAGGGATAACCCTGGACTTTCTCCTTCGCTGGCTGATTTTCTAAGACATTTCTGTTTCGGCATAAGTCCACACTTTCATAAGTTTATTGAAACCATGGTTGTTCCCCTTGTATAGCTTGAACTATGCACTGTCTTCCTGCTATCTAATCCAATACACAAAGGTGATAATTAGTGCTCTATGTTCTCCAGGCAAATTCTTTTCTGCATTCCCCTCGTGCTTCTGGATCAAGTTTCAGTGAAGACGATGGCTTCCTCATTGTGTCAATCCTCCAGAGTCTCCACATCGCTCCCTGGTGTACTCATTTCCTGCATTATTCTTTGTATTTGCAAGGTGGAATCAGGTAGGTATCTGCTCCATATTAATGGGTGTTTTGCTGCTGCTGCAAAGTTTTTTTTACATTGTTATCGACACAGAGAGTGTCTACACATGCATTTACACCAGTTTAAATTTAATGCGCAGTAAGCGAGAATAGACCGGTATCTACACATGCAGGCATTAAAGCACATTAACACTGTGTGTGGATTGACTTGGGACTAAAGTTAGTCCCAAATCAGTCCACAGAGACACAGTTACTCCCCAGTAAGGTGTCTACACATACATTACTGCATAATAACTAATTGGGCATAAATTTGAAACCTACATGATGCAGAGATGAATTTACGATCAATTTGGCATAAGTCACCATGTTTACTGCACAGCAAGGGTGTGCACGTGCAGACATGTGCCTGTACTGCACAGTTACATACACGTGACATGAGTTTTGTTTTCAAGAATTTGGGGTGCGGTTCCCCATGAATCCCTATACCAATCTTCTTGATGTGCGGGCCGGGAGCAGTCTGAGGCCCTCGGGGGCGTGCGGCGGGCTGTGGCCAGCAGCCCTGGCACGCGGGTCAGGGAATGCAGGCCAGCGGACTAGAATTAGGCACGGACATGCAGCGGTTGATTAAAGGTTATTTTACTTACACCGTAGATGGTCGCGGTGCAGGCAGGAAAACTTGCTTGAGTTGCACTTACAGATAGGAAAGAAGAGCGGACAAGTAATCTCACGAACTCTAGCCTAATCCGGCTGAAGGCTCTAAAACCGCGAGCCTGTTGTGTCAACCGAAGAAAACAACTCAGAGAAGAGCTCTGGATACACTCACTCGAAGTTTGCTAGGCTCCGTGGAACTTGCGCGCAGGGAAGGGGTTCGTCGAGGGATCGCGCTCGGCGACGGGGAGAGGCCAGAGGTTGATCAGACCCCTATAGCCTTCTTAAGGTACACGCTGGGTCCGTTAGGCTCTGCAGCGCTTAGAGTTCTTCACGAAATGTGAAGTCCTCCTCCTCCAGATGGTTGTGGAGTCCTCCAACTTGGGCAGAAACCGCTCAAGCCTCTTATACGGCTAGCCA